TAATTATGCGAAGAAGAATAAGAAGATATTTTTCTGAGGAGGCAGCTTTATGAAGTGGTTGGGTTAGTGTCTCTTCTTAAGTTTGTACGTTTTGTGGAGACGATGTATAAAGGCAGGCAGTTGCGGTTAGTGCCTACTTTAAGGAACAGCCAGCCACAGGTATCAAGTGCAGCAAGAAATTTGAAGGAGCTTCATAGTTTATATTCTTTGCCATATATTATGACCATAAAATCAAGGAAGATGAGGTGGGCGGTGCATGTGGCTTCCGTGGGAGAGATAAATGCTTACGAATTTATGTTTTTTGACAACCGGAAGGGAAAAGACCACTTAGGGCCCAGACATGTATGTGATAATGATATTAAAAAGGATGTGAAAGAAATAGGATACGGGGGTGTGAACTGAATTCATGTAGTTCAAGATAGGGGTCAGTGGTGGGTTCTTGTTAACACGGTAATTAACTTCCCGTTCCTGTAATAGGCAGAGGATTTCTAGACCTCACTAAACTAATATTAGCCGTAGATTCTCAAGAAAGGCCCTCCTCTGCAGTATCAGTTATATCTGTGATACAAAACCGGGTTACAGAATTATTAGCGAGGCCTTAATTGAAACTGTTTTTCAACCTAGGAAATAATTGATATTCCCACGATGTAATTATAACGGATACCAGAAGTTAACCAAGTAATCAACTCCCATAGAGCTGAATCCTTCTTGTGAAGCCGCCAGTTGCGTAGCTACTCAAGAATTTCTCAACATTTTATGGAATCTGAAGGTTCATTACCGTGTTCACAAGAGTTCTCCACTGGTCCATATCCTGAGTCAGATTAATTCAGTCCATACTACGCCATCCTGTTTCATGTATAGGACTAATGTATATAAGCAAAGTTTATTAGTTGTCAATCATTTTGTAAACAATCCCGCAACGACTTTGTATTCGGAAGCAAAAATTATCATTCTTGCCTTCCCGGACAAGTTTTCTTTTATAAATATTCAGAACCAATTTAATGCCATGATACCTGGATTTCACCCACACTTCTAGCTGCTCGTTATAATTTAGTAGTATAACAATCTATGCTACAAGTCGGAAGGTCGCGGGTTCAAGTCCTGGTGAGGTCATTGGATTTTCTTGAGTTGACCTAATCCTTCCAGCCGCACTAGGCCCTGGGGTTTACTCAGCCTCTAACAGAAATGAGTACCAGGAATTAATTAAATAATTTTCCTGGGGCTAAAGGCCGGCCGGCGCGTAAGGCTGACAACCTTACCGCCATCTTCGAGCCGATTGTCTAGATAATATGGGACCCTCAACGTCTCACAACCCTATGGGCCTTCACGGCCTCTTACAAGGATATCTTCACTTACTTTAACAATCTAAACACAGCTGGTGTCAAAATGGAAAATTAGGGCTTTGAAATAAGGAAATGTAAGTGAGACTTGAGGTTCTCACGGCACTGACCACGAAAAGTACTATCTTATGGAATGTACCGCCATCTAGTCTGGCGAAAGTTTACCAGCGTTTTAGAGGAAAGAACCTTTTCATACGGCGTCACAGCTCCAAGGACATATGATTTTTCGGCCCCAAACTTTGGTGCGGCAGCTGCTAAGATCAGAGTGATACCTTCACTGCGATTTTATGAGACACTTAGTGCGCCTGTGCGTCGTCGTATTATTGGATGGTTACACTATATAGCAGCGAAATATTAATTTGGTTTACATTTGTCTAGAAACTTCAAATTAGCTCAACACGTGACAATATGAATTTTGTACATACGCAGTCGGTAAAATTTCATCCCACAATATGCTTCAGATAATGGCACATTCTGCCGATCCCAGCGTTCGAGCGAGAGAAGACAGTTCAAAATAAGCTAACATAGACATAAGAAATCCGTTGTCGTATATGAAAATGTATGGGCACAGCGCAGTTGATGCCCTTTTAACGGATTGCCTTCTGCTTTCATTTAACAGCAGGTTTATACCCAGTGGTCAAGAATGCTTCAGTTAAGTTATTCTATTACGGATTAATGATTATAGAATATAATTCGGAAGGAGGATAGTTTTAATTTATGGATTAAAATTGGAACAGTAAAAGGTAAAGTTGTACCTATGCTTAACTAATTAAGCACTACGCCATGAAGGCGTATGGGGGAGTGGACATATAGATGCACATTTTCTTGACCTCGGCACTAGCTGGAGGTGAGCGGTCAGCTTCACGGCCCGGCCGCTTTACCATCGGGGAAAGAGCCCGCGGTACCCATTGGATAGGAGACTGGGTGGGCCCCAGAGCCAGTCTGGACGACGTGGAGAAGAGAGAATTCTTGACCCTACCGGGACTCGAACTCCTACCCCTCGGTCGTCCAACCCGTAGATAGACTAATCTCCGCGTTCGAATATAAGGTCTGGATGATGTGATTTTGATTGGAGACGTGGGAGTATGATTCTTAGCGATGTGATACTTAAAGCACATTACCATACACTTTATATTATTAACAGATGTGATTCAGATGTATATAATCTACATAACTTATTAAATACAAACGTCTATTTCTTGGCACTATTATTTCTTTAGCTTCTTGAAGCATTTCTGCGGATTCTTAACAATTTCTGCGACATATTATATTTTACGATATAAAACAGCTTTTTTATTATTATTTACATGTTGCTATCATGTTTTCATTTCCATATCTTACTGATTCGTTAGTCGATACTGAAATGCATTTACTTTTGTCTTAAAATACATGCTTCTGTTATGAAATGTTTTAATTAACATTCATGCTGCCACCCATAGCTTTCACTTATCGGTAACCAGTAGGAATACGATTATCTGTACATTACATCTTGACGGGGAACTGGTGTTCAGTTGCACAGTGTTTGGTACTAAAAGCATTCAAATACACAAAGCGAAGATCGTCATGCTTACAGGTTTCTTCGTAATTTTGTTCAGAAATTCTGGATTTCTGACTCGTTAAGTATTCTGTTCGCCATTCATATTCGCAAAGACGATTTTTCTATGTATTTCTCGTTTCCAAAGACGACCTGAAATTAGCAATTGGATCTTCATGTGTTATCGTTCATTATGTTATCGTTATTTGTTTCTATTTGAGCACTTATATGTAAGAACGGGCAGTTCATTTCCTACGAATAGTGACGGTTTAATTAAATCTACAATTTGTTAACACTTAGCCGTTCATTAACATATCAAAATCTAGGCATTTATCATATATGTGTAGGGCTATTGCAGTTTCTGAATGATTTTCTTTCTATATAATGACATGAAATAGTGGCTTTCAACCTTTGTTTACAGATCTATGATCATGGTTGTAGAACTCTTTCTTTTGTAATATTTTATAACATTACCTATCAAGATCTTTGCTATTTCTTTCGTTAAATATGCGCTTGTTTCGTTGCTGTCCCGCATCGAATAAAGTAATGGATATTACCTGTTAAGGTTAACTTTCTTGTGTAATAAATCAGTATTTGCATTCTGTACAGAATTGCAAACTAATTTCATAAAAAAAGATAAAACTATCCCTGTAACAGGGCATGGAGGCCCATAGAGTTGTGAGACGTTGAGGCTGCCACATTTTCTAGACAATTGACTCACAGATGGGGTGAGGTTGTCAGCCTTACGCGCCGTTCGCCCTTTACCCCGCAGGTAGATTCCTGGTACTTATATCTGTTAGAGGCTGAGTCGACCTAAGGGCTTTAGTGCAGCTGGAAGGATTAGGTCAACTGAAAAATCCAATTGCCTCATCGGGAATCGAACCCACGACATTCCGGCTTTTAGCATAGTGCCTCAATCAACTACGCTACCGCGTGCCCCAAGCTGATTTCTTAGTCATATATTTTAAATAAAACGCATGAGAATGTGTTACGGCTGGTTGATTACCTTAACTTCAAGGTAGATGATGTAACTGAAGGCCACAGTAATAATTAATCTTATGATAATTAGTCGCTCCATCAGGATTACGTTGTGTAGATTAATACTTAAAGAATGACTTCAACTTTTCATTGCGTTACTATTAGTGAAAGTGGAACTAAAACAGTCCTATTATCAATAATTCCAGATTAACATAAATTTTTTCTGAAGTTTAGTAATAACAAGCAAGTTACACAACAACGACAGCTTAATGAGGGCCACAGTAGAGCAGTTTCTACATGGATTATGCTACCATTTTTCCGTATTATATCCTATGTCTTCCAGCCTTTGCGGTACTTTTCAAGTTTCACGTAACTTGAAACTTCATTTGTAGCAGCTTATATGGAAAATCGTATATAGTCTTAATCTCTAGTTTGTCATGTTTCCAATTTCCTTCATTTTCCCTGTGTCCCATTTGTTCCTTACATCTGTGGAAGTAATTATTTACCTTCGCGTAACATTAGACCCTTTTCTTCGCTTTTGTTTCCAGTAAATCTTTTTTTATGTGTAAAAAGGTAAAGCTATCCCTGTAACAGGCCGCGGACGTCCATAGGGCTGTGAGACGTCGAGGCTCAGACATTTTCTAGAAGGCGGTGAGGTTGTCAGCCTTACGCTCCGGCCACGCTTTACCCCCCAGGAAGATTCCTGGTACTCATTTCTGTTAGAGGCTGAGTCGATCCCAAGGCCATAGTGCGGCTGGAAGGATTAGGTCAATTTAAAAATCCAGTGACCTCATCGGGAATCGAACCCGCAACCTTCCAGCTTGTAGCATAGTGCCTCAACCAACTACGCAATCGCTTTATGAATTATTGGTCCTTTGAACAACGGAAGAATCACCACTGTCGGTTTTGCGATATCTGTTGTTGTGTTTCATGTCCTACCTGCCCAAGTAAAAACTATTGGCTAGCATCCGTGTTCCTGCTGGCTTCCCACCGCGGCGACCCGGGTTCGATCCCGGGTCTGGTCAAGTGGGATTTGTGGTGGACAAAATGGCGCTGGGGCAGGTTTTCTGCGAGTACTTCGGTTTCCCCTGCCAATCTTCATTCCACCAATTGCTCCACAATCACCCTCACCTATCATCTGGGGCTGGTACAATAGGCCAGAAGTGGCTGCAGTACAAGGGACTCAGTCCCACCCCAGTAGCAATAAAAATAAATCAGTGTTCCTGAAAGTCCAGTCAGTAATTGATATTTACTGTTTTGCAAATAGATTTTTGATTTAATGCATTATTCGGACGTTTTTAAATTCAAGGCTCAAATAAAACCAAAACTATTTATCGGCGGGCAACTTGTGTACATTTAGTTCATAAAGTTAAAACGTCTCACAGAAGTACAGGACTACTGTACTAACAGGAGTTCTAACCAGTTTCGAAACTAGCTACCACATGAAGTAACTGACATTTATGTCCTCTTGTAACATATGCTCTACACGTCGTTCAAGCTATCACACTATTCCCTGTTATGTTAAACGTGTAATTGGGTGTTGAGTTCTTGAAAGTGTTTTTTTATTCCCCTCCTAAACCACCCATGCCATATGCTTAATAATAATAATAATAATAATAATAATAATAATAATAAAAGTGTGTGTTACATTTTCGAGAGTTGAAAGACAAAACAGGTGACACTGGTGTATGTTATTTGAAATAACTTAACAACAATATTGTTAAAATGTCCTTGTGTATAGATCACATACATTAAAGACGCTCCCTCATAAATTATTAATATTAGTCTTTGGTATGATTTTTTACTTTTTTTCTCGCGGACTTAGATTAACGATGCTATTTCAATTCACACTAGAATTGATAATCTGTATGAACCGTTAAATATTATTACAGGTTTTTGTTTTGCTCCCGCGCACAATAAAACACATACTATAAGCATCCCCTGAGAACTCATTCAAAATATTATGCTCTTGTTTTGATTTCGATCATAAAACTTTTCTTCCTTCGCTTTTGAGTTTATGGAATTGGCACCCATCCGGTTCATTTCTTGTTAATCTTCTTTATCACTGTACATATAACTCGGTCACATATATACACGACACTTGGGGAGCATTTGACTGTGCAAAACACTCTTATGGATGACGGACGATAAGCGTAAATATTGAAGGAAATGGTTCCCAGCATGGGTCTGAGTAAAACTAAAATTAATCCAAATGGTTACCAATACTCAGTGTCCCAGAAACACGGCCCCCACTTTGTAGAAAGTATGTAATATTACTTCATCACATCACCATGCAAGGTATAAGAAGGGAAATTGGAAATAACCTAGGCATTTTTATTATGCCTCATTTCCGCGTCACAAAAGAGAAATTTAACTATGTGCAGAAGTTGGGTTGGCGCCTCCGGAGCACAGTATACATACGCAGAGTTCATTTTATCATTGCTTCTAGCGAGATTATTATATCTTTATCTTACATGGTAGGCGACACATACAGAAATCCTTATTTTCTTCGTAGAAGGTACACTGAGGGGAATAATGTTTTTGTGTGTTCACGATTGTAAATAGTTTATATTGACACTGTTTCGAGTCTGTGGCGATAGATGTTGCCAGTTATCATACTGTAAGAGGATTTTATTAAATCCACGATATATGAATTCCTTGTTCCTACAAAATCAAACGCTGAAAGTATTGTTGAGGAAAACGTTTCTTTTTACTATTGCACGCCGCTCGAAATATTTAAGATGTTATTGAAATAATTTTATGTTTGAGATGGAGATAAACATTTGGCTTTTAACGTTACGTTTCTGCATAAATGTGCAGTGAGAACAATAGGATTAAAGAGATCAGTCTTAATCATTCGATACTTAACATTATTTGATGTTATACTTCTAATGATCAACGCCATATTAGCAGTGACAATCTCATAAAGGAGTCGTTTTGCATAGTTAATCCCTCCCCTTTTGTTGTTTCCAATAATTTAGATAAATAACGTAAAGCGATCATTAAAAAAAATAGCAAATATTCACAACCTATTCGAAGTGTCCTATATGGTCTACAAATATTCTGTCTCTTGCTGTTGCTTAGCGATCGTAGACCCGTCCCCTTTCAGAGAAGATGTCTGGGAAGGTGGCTGGGTGAGTCACGCTGACTGCTGAACAGCTCCAGAGCCATCTCCCCTCTCTGCGATCCGTTACTGAAACACACATCACATGGTGTCAACCTACAGGCCTGGTACATATTAGCGAGAGGTACGATGGCCTCCGTGTGTTATACTTGTATTTCGCTTGGAATAAATACACACATTTTAAGTTCATCCTTGTAGCCAGTCAAGAGAGATTACTTTAGCTCACCGCTTACCGGCGTTACATGATGTGAAGTAATTACGCCCCTGACAAGTTGAACCCCGTAGCCAACCAAGAGGTATGACGTGGCTCCCGCCTGTTATATTTGGCGTGGAATAAATATTGCCACGTGTTGGGTGTATGTCACGCGACAAATAACTTCACTCCATATTGGATGTAGCGAATTTATTGAACACTCGCCCTTACAATTACACAATTCACAATTTCCCAACTACTGCCATCGGCAGTATCACAAATACTTCGCCTGCCGTAGTCACTGCCATGCACTCGATACAACCCGACTCGGCGACTGCTAGATTGAAACTGACTGGTTACTCAGAGTCAGAATCACATTGCGACTGACGGTCAGTCAGTCTGTCTGTCTTGGTGTCGAGCCCCGACTTGGGCTCATGACCAGATTTCACCCTTGTAGCGAATCGAGAGAGGCGCTGTAGTTCAGCACCTGTTTTACGTGAAGCAGTTGCAAGAGTGACAAGTGTAACCATATACCAGTTTGTATTTGTCTCCTAAGCTGAACAGATTAGCTACCGGATTCAGTTCCACTTGTACTCAGGGTATACGTCGCTCGAATCTTTGCTGGGCCAGATATTCGGAGACCTTTCTTACTTCTTTTCGTCCTATTACTAAAATACCTGGCAGTAGTATCTAATAGTCCGTTATAGTGATCACATGTCTTTGAGACTGAAATAACATAAGTTTGAACAACTAGTTTAATGAAATTGCTTAGTTATGGACCTGGCATGAAATGTGCTGCTCGGTAAACTAGGCCTGACTCACGCATTACAGGAAGGCCTACAGGCGTTTCTTCTCACATTTCGAGCGTAACTCGCAAAATATTTACATCTATTTATCGGAGCGAAGGTTGCAGGGAAAAGTCCATATTTTAAGTCGACTATATTTTCGCCGAGTTTTTCGAGGTAACGAAACAAAAGGGACTCTTTTGCTGTGTCATCTAATAACTGNTTTCTTCTACCCTGAAGATGGGGGCGATACGTTCCTCCGAAACGTCGGTTAACACCACATATACACGGTGCCAAATCCCAGAAGACTGCTTTCTTCATAGTCACCGCCGTGAAAGCCTCAAATCTTACACTGTGAGAATTGTTGACTATACAAATATTATGTTTTGGACATTATCCATCATCTTATCTTTATCTAAAAATCGTCTTCTTTATTTTTCAAAACAGAACGTTTCGGAGACTGGTTTCTGTTTTCGTCTTCACGTAAATCTTCTCAGTTGGGCCAACTCGATAGAGCTAGTCGCTATCTCCGGACATCTATGCCAGCTCCAAGATTGGATACATAAATCAAACAAAGCACAAACCAGCTACGAGAGCTAAGAAACTTCTATATCTTGTTAACTGTTGACTGATTTTGTCACTGCATATTTTACGCTATTCATAAGAGAGCGTGAAAAGTTAACATTCCGGCTTTGAAAATCTAGAGACAATAGCAGAGCGGATACTTCAGCTGCGCTATGCATACTTTTCCTAACTTATTATGTTGAGTGTGCGAGTTACGTAGAGCGCATGAGATTCTGAAACTTGAAGAAAAGGGAGTTCGCAGTTGAATTATATCGTCAGCGAACTTGAAGGCAATCCCAGTTATAGTTTTCCCGTGAATAGTGTACATATTATCGTCCTGGCTACGCACTGGTTCTCCCATCAGGCTTTTCCCGAAGGTTTACGTGGCATATATTTTAATACTATATCCGTTGTAGAATATCACGCTTTTTACACAGTTTAATTGCCAGAAAAATATCTACGAACCATTATTTCCAAATGTGTTTTATAAACTAAAAATTTCACAGTTGATTCTCGCTCTATCTGTGCACATCGCATCTAAACGGGAGAAATAAATATTAGGGCAGATGGAGGTGTATAGGAAGCGTAAAGGTAAAACTGGATGCTTTCTGGTCCTCGGCAGTTTAGCTCCAGTCGCTTTACCCAGTGTGGTTCCCGTTCGTACGGGGCTGGCTGGGACCTAGGGCAGGTCTAGACGGGAATTTAACCCTGGTCGTTCTGCCGCTAGTTTCATTTTCCAAGTCACCGGAATGTGGTCATATCATCACTAATTATAGGCCTGCTTGTATGCTATTCTCCATGTAAGTTTCGTGTACTTTGTGAAAGCTGACGCTCTGGGTTCTACATGATCCCAGTTAAGCCCCATGCCATGCATACATATGCTTAACGTCGGTATTAGCTGGACGTAAGTGTAGTTGATTCAAAATTTTGTTCAAGGGTCGGTAGTTAAGAAGTGTAGCTTCTGCATACACCGATACATGGTGGGATGCAATGGCGATTCGTTCGAAAACATAGATTCTGAAGGATTATAGCGATGGTGTATAACATTCAGAATTACACAAAGACGTTTTTAAATCTCAGAATTACTGGGTTTTTGGATTTTTTCCATCGTCCGGTATTCTCTGAACTAGAAATCACAACGTTTCGGAAACAGATCCAGTTTCCGAAACGTTGTGTTTTCTATTTTCTAGGATACCGGACGATGGAAAAAATCCAAAAACCCAGTAATTCTGAGATTTAAAAACGTCTTTGTTTTCCTTAATGTTGTGGTGTATTAGCTCCATGCAGCCGTTGCTAAGTAATACACGCAAGCAACAACAGAAGATGCAATCCATTTCTAGGCAACGACTCGGTAAACACATTTCCGCATATCTGACCGTGCTATGCAAAGCGGTGACGTCATCAACAATACAGACGGTGTTCTCCGTGAGGTCTGTGCAGAGTGCTTATAAGACAGAAGACAGGAGAGTTCAGCAGTTGAGAGTACAAATACGAGAATGGAACATGTCTTTAGTGAATTGTGAAGTTTAGTTGAGTAGAGAAATACAAAGTGATTGAAGAGAAGGAGACTTCATAGTGATTTGAAGTGCTAGTTTCTGTGTTAAGATCCGTTGCTAGGAGACGACTACTGGAAACTGAGAATCCTAGTGCGAGTGCGACGGTGAACTGTAAATTGTGTAAATCATCGATATCGCTGTATTAATTGTAATTAAGACCGATTATAACCGAAGTGCCAATAAATCCAATCATCCGAACTAGAACCCGTTACTTTCGTCACCTCACGCGTACCCCCCTATATGTGACAGTGTCATCAAAATGCAACTATTTGCGACTCTTACCTGTTAATAAAATTCGGGACTGAGGTATCTGCCTGCTGTGGGCTAGGTAAGCCAGCCAAGCTCTCTTCGCCAGGTGTCTCTTAGAGGCCTTTGCACCGCCATCCACGCAGTAGTGTGAAGAACATCCACCAGGGGCGCTGCGGGTCTGGGCGCGCATAGTCCTCCAGGATGGCGAACTCTGTATCCCACGCTCCTGCTGCTGCATTTTCTTCTACGTTCTGGTGCGAAACGTGACATTAGGGGCACCGCAAAGGCTATGTTATTGTATCCCCGCCATGCTCTGTTATTCTGCATAGGACACTAATTTCATTTTCTTAGCCACCACCAACATATGATGCAAGATATGTCTGTTTTGAACACCTGAAGGGGGTATTATCTGTGTTTGAATAATATCCTATGTACGAACTGTCATTGCCAATATCATAAGTCCCTCTAGGGGACTATCGCATCCTGTCGCTGACCTTAGGCTTTGCCGTCAACAGAATTGCCGTATGATATTGTGTTAAAAGACGTATTACTAAATGCATGTAAAATCCTTGCTCTATTACATCTTGTTTAAGTGGTATAATTAATTCTCTTTTTTTTTTATTCGCTTAGTGTGGGGGGTGGAGTCCAATTTGGTCCACTGGGCACGGCGGCTACTGATTGGTCTATTGTAGCCTGCCCTGGGTGATTATGATGATGGAGAATTTGGTGGAATCAATATTGACAGGGGAAATAGAAGTACTCGGAGAAAACCCTCCCCAGTGCCACTTTGTCCACCACATATCCCATTTGACCAGACCCGGGATCGAACCTGGGCCGCCCAGGTGGGAAACCAGCGGCTAACCGCTTGAGCTATGGCGCGGCCTTTTAAGTGGTATAACTAGATGAAAGATTTATGAGTAGTCGATATAGAACAGTCGTGACTGTATGACAAACTTTGATTTATTTGACTTAATGCAAACACAGTAAGACGTTATGCGTCTATAATCCTCTGAATCACAGTGTACCACCTGTATTAATGTTAAAAGCTGCATTTTGCCCAGAGAATATATGTATATATTTCATATTATTCTTAGAATAAACAACGATTGTTTCCCTGAACTTCATTAATTAGTTGGAGATACAGATTGTTTCCCGTGAGGTAGGAACTGAAGTTTAAAATATTTACAAAAAGAATCGTATTTCGAAGAATTAATGCTAGGTTAGACTGTGAATAATCTCAGCTAACGTTTGAAGTTGTGTAGTCTTATTCCTGTAAAGAACTGACTGATCCTAAAGAATTAACATCATCATTTCATGAGCCGTAACTCTGTCATAGGAAACTCTGATGTTCTGGAAGTGCCTCTTGTCTCCTTCGGATCAAGGGAAGCAGTTAACTCCAAAATTCCCAAACGACGTTTTCCCTTCTCACATAATGTCCAACATTTAGAAAAACTGTACGTCTTGTGGGCTTTTATTTCCAGCGGAGCCACCCATATGAAGCTGCTTATGTTTTCTCACACTGAGCTCTAATGTAATCACATTTATAATGCAAGATTGTGAACGGTAAAGGTAAAGTCGCTGTCCTTAATGAAGCACCACGCCATGAACACGTATTGAGGAGTGAAGATATAGCTCCGCCATTCTTGACCTCGGCACTAAATGGAAGTGATTAGCTTCACGCCCCTGCCGCTGTACCTCCACGGAAACAGCTCCCGGTACCCGTTGGGTATGAGGATGGGTGGGCCCCAGAGCCGGTCTGGACGCTGTGGAGAAGAGGAAATTTTATTCCTGCCGGGAATCGAACCCCGGCCATCCAGCCCGTAGCCCGTCTCTGTACCGCCTGAGCATTGAAGAAATTTCGAATATTTAAGCATTGAATCTTTAACCTTTCGTTTGAGGGGTATGGCAGTTATTATGTCGGACTGGACGTTTATTTAGTGCAAATTATTCCAAACTCAGGCAATACTGGATACTATTCGTGAACCAAGGCACATCAGAACAGAAGGAAGAAGGTTCACTTGTAAGATTTATTTAGGTAAAAGGTAAAGTCCCTGTGCTTAACTAAGCGTTACGCCATGTTGACGTATGGGGGAGTGGATGGATAGATCCACGTCATCTTGAACAAGACACTAGTTGGAGGTGAGTGGTGAGCTTCACGGCCCGGCCGCTTTACCTCCGGAGGAAGAGTCCCCAGTACTCAATGGGTACGAGGCTGGGTGGGCCCCAGAGGCGGGCTGAATGGCACGGGGAAGGGAAAATTCTTCACCCTACCGGGACTCGAACCCTGACCCTTCTGTCTTCCAGCCCGTAGCCAGTCGGTGTACCGACTGCTTTATCCTTGCTCGAAGATTTATCTGCAGGCTGTAAAATTAGGAGATAATGAATGAGTAGGCCAGAGAGTAAATACTGACAGGATTAAAGATCTGTAGTTCTGATGCAGCTGCAAGCCTGTATTAAAATATTGGCATGGGGATGTTGTGGTGTAGTGTTCCACAGTTCCACTTGTTTGGGGACTGATAGATGCTACAGCCAGATGATACTGTTTCGTATTTTCACGTGCCAACGTCTGAATTAAAATTTTCATTCTGATGCGAAATTACCGTACATCGCTGCTGAGTGGCTACCACTCGTACGTTCCGGAGGTCCAGGCTTCAAATTTCGGACAGGAGATGGGAAATTCTGAAAGATATTTTGCTATTTTCTTTAGTATCTTCAAGAAAATTCCATGACAATACTTTAACATAGTTCATCCTCGCTTTCTTCTATATCGTTATCAGTTAACTGCAAATCATTCTACCATTCGACGTCACATAACCAGAGCAGTTGGTAAAACATCTATAAATACATAAAGAGAAGGACTTGAAATATCTAGAAATAATGTAATTAGTTCAGTGATGTTTTAATTTGATGGACAAACAATAAACATACAGTTCAGTCATGGTGTTTTGTTAGCTATCTTTTCGATTTCTGTCTCAATCTTCGAGGTGAACAAGATGGAGACACGGTGCATTCAGTAAGCAAGCAATTTTACTGCATATATTCATACCGAACCTCGGGGTTTAGTGTTTTGCATTCTGGAAGATCCTGATTCAATCATTTGCCTTCAATATAATACTCTGACTGATATTTCCCATTGTTTTCCTTAGTCACTTAATGGAAATGCTAGAACAATTTCCCCATTTCACGTTATGAGACCTGTACAGCTGTACACTTATTCCCATTTTTATCGAAATATCTTCGGCTCCTGTCACGGTAATTACGTGATTCGCCGACGTGTGGTTTTGACCTCTAGAATATTGCAAGGAGTTATTTTGTGACGAAGAGCGACACGCTGAGGGACTCTACCTGGGGCCATATCCTTTCGTTACTGTAGCTATTCACTGACATCAAAATTAATAATGTGGGTCCCTGGTCAGTTTCTATTTTTTTTTTCCTTGGCACTACAGCCCCAGTGGGCCTAGGCCTACCTCCATGAACTTCTCCGTTCACTGGGTTTTTCAAGGTCTTACAGATACGGTAGGACTCCTTGGGCGAGTGATCAGCTCGTCGCAAGGCCTCTACCTATAGACAAACACAGAAAAACGCACACAAACTAAACATCCATGCCCTGAGTGGGACTCGAACCCACGATCTCGGCTTCCGAGCGAACAAAGACAGTGCATGCCTTAGACCGCTCGGCTACCGTGACCGGCATGGTCAGTTTCTAATACTGTTTTGAATTTAGTTAAACTCATGTACAATATTATGACAAGAGTGTCCTGAACACTTGAAGAACAACTTACGCTGTTTAGAAATAACAAAGAATGCTGACTGTCATTGAGTGCTGATTCTTCTTGGCAGAATATTACCACTTAACGTAGTGGTGATTGTGACGCAATTACAGTTCCTCCTACTCATTGTCTATTAACTAAATATCTCCATGTAATACAGTCCTTCCCGAAGTGAACGGAGAAGTTCATGGAGGAAGGCCTAGGCCCACTGGGGCTGTAGTGCCAAGGGGAAAAAATACAGTCCTTCATGAGCTAGTAGTCAACACATCTCATCAAGGAAGTCCCCATCTCTTATGGATCTGAAGGCTTATTACCGTTCACAAGAGCCTGGCACTGGTGCCTATGTTGAGCCAGATGTATTCAGTCAGCATGTTTTCATCCTATTTCTTAAGACTCATTATTACATTATTCTTCCATGTACATTTTATATCTTCCAAGCGCCTCTTCCCTTCAGGCTTTCAGGCTATCTCTCCCATCCGTTTTACATGCCCCTTCAATTTCATCCATTTGATCCCAGTTGAACGTATTTAGTAAACAGTAAAAATTGTGAGACTCCTCATAAATCCTATACATTTTTCTCCTCCTCGTATTACTTCCCGTTCCTTACTACCATTCTCTTCAACACCTTGTTCTCAAACTCCGTGAATCTATGTTCTTTCAGGGTGCGAGAACAGTCTCACACAAATACAAAACAACAGGTAGACAATTTTATGGGTTTGTGTGTTGTAATGTTTACATTTTTAGATAGGATGCAGAAAGACTATAGATTATGAACTGAATGGTTGACAGCGTTTCAGTCGGTATTTATTGGTCTAAAAATATGTATATATATATATCTTCTCCAGCATAGCGGGGATATTATAAGATTTAAAAGTGCCTGTCCATTTTAAAAGACTAATTTACGAAACACACAAAACACAAAATTAAGTCAGAGTTAATTGAAGAGAAACAGAAGATTTTTTTTTCGAAGTGAGCTCATGTTTATAATAATCAGAGTAGTTTTTGACGGAAGTGCAGTTATGGAACACTATCAACGCTTTTTGATGTTACCAACAAGATCAGTGGTTTATCTAATGTTACCGGAAACTGGGGCCTTTCAGTAAGCAAGATTACTTCGTTCCGTTATAAAATCAGTTCTTACGCACCCCGACAATATCCAACATGTACGACTAAGTCGCGATGCTGTTGCGGTCCGATTAATTAATGTGTATGTCTACTGAAGAGTTACGCACTCAATATGTGGCCATCTTTCGAGGGATCTGATGTTATTTGGCAGACCTGGTATTTGAAATCTTATTTTTTTAAATGTTGCTAGCTTTTACTTATTGTTTACAAGCGGAAATCCTCAGAGTTTGCAAATCTACACCATCCAACAACATGTTCATAACATGGAACTAATACAACGTGATTCTAAATTATTGTCTGGAAGGAAATTGAAAACCGCTTAGATATCCTACCTACCACGAAAGGCGCGCATTTTG